CTAAAAAAATCAAGAGCAGAAGCTAGATATATCACTAAAACAAGCAAAATACTATCTTGGAAAAATTTTACCTCGACCATCAATCACAAAATAGACCCAGCAGCATTATGGAACAAAATTCGAACATTAAAAGGATATAAATCCCCCCCTACTCCAGATCGACTGAGAGATAATCTGAACAAAATATATTCATCCTCGGCCAGCGTCTCGGAAGCGTTCGCCCAATTTTTTCAAAAAAACAACAGCAACCAAAATTACTCTGATGAATTTTTAGCACACAAAAATTCTTATTCATCATTACTGTTAGACTCCACATCTACCAACGATCATTGTTTTAACCTTCCTCTAAACCTAAGTGAACTTCTATCAGTCCTTCAAAACAGCAAAAGTAAAAGCCCAGGGCCCGACAATATACCTAATTCATTTATTCAAAACCTTCCCGAAAATGGACTCTCGACTCTTCTCCAGATCTTCAATTCAATATGGACACAGGGTACCTTTCCAAACCAATGGCGGAGTGCAACAGTAATCCCCATCCCAAAACCGGGAAAAAACAAATTTGAAATTCACAACTATAGACCCATTCAGTCTTGCTCAGTCAGCCGTACCGTGCGGTCGTCAATGCGTTAACATCGCTCTATTATCTGTACCTATTATCTTATTACCTACTTCGATATCTCACTAATAAACTTTATCTCTAATCTAATATCGTTTTTCTACCTACCTTTACAATGTCCAGTAAATGTATAAAATGTAATAAACATATAACTCACCTTGAAGACGTACTTCAATGCAGTTTATGTAAAATCCAAATCCACTTTCATTGCAATGGAATTTCCGAAACAGCCTTCAGAAAAATGACAAACAATACTAAAAAGCGTTTTACATGTACTACCTGCAATACTTTCAAAAGCCCAGCAACCTCCACTGAACCATCCAACTTATTGGAAGACAAGATTGAAGACCTAATAAAATCGGTAAGCTTTATGAGTCAACAATTCGATGAGTTTAATAAGAAAATCGAATCTATATTTAATGAAATAAAATTGGTCAAAATAGAAAACGAACAAATTAAAAAAGAAAATACCATATTATCCAAAGAGATAAGTGAAATTAGACAAAAAATTGACATTCTCGAACAACAAAATCTTGGGGCCAGCATTGAAATAATAGGCATACCAAAAACTGAAAACGAGAACTGCATAAGTATAGTCAAAGAAATAGGAAAAAAAATGAATATCGTCATTCCCGTCATAGAAGCTAGAAGAATTACTGCAGAAAAGTCCAAGTCAAATTTAATTATTGCTAAGCTAGAATCAAAGGAAATAAGAAGTCAACTTATACGCAAATCAAAAAATGAAAAACTTAACGCTAATATGTTAGTCAATAACTGGCCTACTGAAAATAAAATATTTATAAATGAACACCTCACGAAAGACAAAAGAATACTTTTCGCCAAGACAAGAGCAGCCGCCAAAGACAAAAAATATAAATTCACTTGGATATCCAATGCAGAAATCCTTACAAGAAAAGACGAAAACTCAAAAACAATGCGCATCAGAACCTTTAGTGACCTTGAAAAAATGTAAGTCACTAATATGTATTTATTTTTTTTTTCTCAACTTTTCTAGTATATATTTTTAATTAAGTTCCTATTTTTCTATGAATCCATTAAATACAATAAATAATATAACTACAAAAGAAACTGTGCCCTTATTAACTATTCAAGAAGCAAACTCAAATCTTTTCTCTGATAATTCAGGTCTAAATATTATGCACGTTAATATTAGAAGTCTTATAAAACACATATCTGATCTTGAATGCCTTAGTGCTGCTCTAAATAATAATAATCATATCATAATAACAACCGAATCATGGATAAGCGATAACTTTAATACTAAATTTATACCTTTTAAAAATTATCAGATAGTAGCCTCAATTAACAATGTGCGTAGAAGCGATGGTATACTTATTTTCATCAAAAATGAAATACACCAATCAAGTACCGAAATTACAATAACAAACGCAAATTGCATGCTTACTCTAATAACATACAAAAATATAAATTACGGAATTATATCTATATACAGATCCCCTAGTGGCAACTTAATTAAATTTATTGAAGAACTATATACAACAATCACTAATATTATAAATTCACATAAAAATACTACACTTATCTTAATAGGAGACATAAACATAGACCTCTTAGACACCACAAATTCAACAGCCGCTTATCTAGATTTACTAAACTCATTCGATTTTATTCAGCTTATCAACCGACCCACCAGACCTCAAACCAATACCTGTATTGATCATATATTTATTAAAGATAACCATAAACACTACAGTATACAAGCCGCAGTTTTAGACTCTCTTATTACAGACCATTTCCCGATAATTCTACGATTAGACAATAAAACTACAAGCGGGAAAAAAGCCTCAAATCAAAATACTTACAAATACGTTGATTTTAACAAACTTAAATTAATATCAAGCATAACTAATTGGAATGAAATTAAATTAGCTAAAACCGTTGAAGACAAAATATCACTACTTACGTCACTAATTCAAAATAACATAAAAAACTGTACTTCTATAAGACCCAAAAATAAAAACCAACTAAAACATTGGATCACTACTGGCATTATACAATCAATAAAAAAGAGAGACAAACTACATACTTTAACTAGACAACAGCCATTCAACACAGCTCTAATTGATAGTTATAAAAAATATAGGAATAAGCTTTCAGATATAATTACGAAACAAAAACAAAATTATTATAGGGAAGCAATCTCAAAAAACAGCAAAAATATAAAAAAGCTATGGTCAACAGTTAAAGATATAACAACCCATACTGAACACAAAATAACTAATTATAATATAAACATTAAAAATAAAATACATGACTCCAACTTAGACGCTACCTTAATTGCAGACACATTCAACTCATACTTTATCTCAATGGGAAATCCTAATAACGTAAATTCTAATAAAAAACAATGCCTTTCTGTCAATAACAATTCCGCTCAATCACTATACCTTAGAATGACCACGAAAAAAGAAATTAACTACACTATTAATAACATGAAAGGGGACTCGGCCCCGGGCAAAGACGGAATTACTATAAATATTGTAAAACATATTAAAGAATCTATATCAGATATCCTAGAACATATATTTAATACAATCTTAGTGGAATGTAATATACCGAATTCATTCAAAACCGCTTTAATCACACCTATACATAAAGGTGGAGATAAGTCCGATATTACTAATTATAGACCGATCAGTCTTCTGAACGTTTTTTCAAAAATATTCGAAAGAATCGTAAAAAAAAGACTTTTAACATACCTAGAGGAGAACCTTATTCTACCTAAATCCCAATATGGTTTCAGAGAAAATTTAGGTACTGAAGATGCACTAGCCCAAGTCTCCAAAGACTTATATACCAATCTAGAACAAAAAAACAAATCTTTAGGAATATTCATGGACCTGAGTAAAGCATTTGACAGCATCTCACACGACATACTATTAAGTACCCTACAATCAATAGGTATAGTTAACAAAACTTACAGACTTTTTGAATCCTACTTAAATAATAGAAAACAGCAAGTACAAATAGGTAATACCTTAAGTGACGAACTTATAATCTATAATGGAGTTCCCCAAGGCACTGTACTATCGCCTATATTATATATAATATATGTAGCAGAACTAGGGAATATAAATGCAAGCATACACGGCAAACTTTTTTCATATGCTGATGACACGGCTCTGATAATATCAGAATGTAGTTGGGAAAAGGCTTATCAACACGCCGAGTCTGACATTTTTACTATTAACAAATGGTTTTATAAACACAATTTACGACTAAATTTTAACAAAACAAAATTTGTAACATTTACACAGGACAAAAGAACCCAACCGTTAATAAATGAAATTAAAATACATAATCCAAACTGTAAAACTCAGAATAAAAATGACTTGTGCGACATAATAAAAAAAACTGACAATATTAAATATCTAGGCATAATATTCGATCAACATATGAAATGGGATATTCAAATTCAAAATTTAATAATAAAAATGCGGAAACTTAATCACTTCTATATAAACGCTAAAAAAATACTCGATAAATCTATGTTACGTATGGTCTATTTTGCAATGACCCAATCATTATTACAATATGGCATTACCGCCTGGGGCGGACTTGGAATAGTGGCGCAAAACAAATTATTAACAGCACAAAAAAGCATTATAAAAATAATTCTAAACAAATCTAAAACCTATTCATCAGAAAAAATTTTTAAAGATATGAATGTCTTCGACGTAAAACAATTATTTTATAAAAATGCATTATATTTTACATATAAACTAAAATTAATAGAATTTAAACAAATCACGCGGACAACTCGCCAAAATAACAAAATAGCTATTCCTATAATTAAAACTTTAAAATCCAGTAGATACTTCGGTAAAGTAGGCCTTGAACTCTTAAATAACGTTCCTCTTCATATCTTAAACTGTCAATCATACTCAAAATTCAAACTTCTTATAAAAATATGGTTAAAAAATTCATACGACATAACTTAATTTTTCTACTTGTTTTCTATTTATCAGTCTGTACTATATCTTTCTCGCATATGTAAATCAAATAACCTCTACCCTTTCTTTTCCTTATATATTATCTCTATACTTGTGTATTAATATTTTTTTTCTTTTTGTTTTTATTTTAACTTCTTTAATTTTTTCTTGTTCAAATAAATTTTAATGTATAATTAATTAATTAATTTGTAAGACTCCAACTCACCAATACGAGGTTTCACCTCAGTGGTGAGTTGGGCCAAATATTTCTGTTATTATATATTTTCAGTTACTATTTTAGTAATTACATGTTTTTGTGTAACATTGTTACTATTACATTGCATGTTTAATTGTTTTTTTATGGCCAAATAAATATTATTATTATTATTATTATATCCCTTATAAACACCATGAGCAAAGTCCTGGAAAAAATCATTAACAAGAGACTTATCTGGTTCCTTGAATCGACAAATCGAATCTCAAACCAACAATGCGGCTTCAGACGTAATTATTCTACCATGGACAACCTATCTTCACTCCACACAGACATCTGTACAGCATTCAAAAGCAACCAACATCTCATTCTGATTTCACTCGATCTGCAAAAGGCATACGACATGGTATGGAGAGACAGAGTACTATCGACACTCATAAAATGGGATATTAATGGTCACATGTTTAAGTTTCTATCAAACTTTTTAACCAATCGCTCGTTTAGAGTTAAAATCCAAAATACCCTATCCAACTCACATTATATCGAGAACGGTCTTCCACAAGAGTCAGCCCTCAGTGTCTCTCTCTTCTTGGTAGCTATAAATGACATTGGCAACAATCTTCCCTCTCCCGTCAAATACAAACTCTTTGCAGACGATTGCAACATATATTGCAGTGGAACAAGCCTAGCAACCTCTTCCCAACTCTTACAAGAGTCTCTAAACACACTTGCCTTATGGTCATCCAAGACCGGCTTTATTTTTTCCCCTTCAAAAACTCAAGGCATCATATTTAATAAAAAAAAAAATTCACCGTCTCCTTCAATTACCTTGAACATGACACAATTAAATTTTTCGGAAAACTTACGCATCCTAGGACTCACCTTCGATCACAAACTGTCATGGAAAACACACATCAAAAAACTAAAAACTAGTTGCATGGGTAGAATGAACATTATTAAAACTTTATCAAACCTTTCATGGGGTTCTGACCAGAATAGCCTCATATTAATATACAAATCATTAATTCTCTCACTCATGAATTATGGTTCGGTCATTTATGGCACTGCCAAAGCTACGACACTCTCCTCACTTGATCCGATTCACAACCAAGGAATTAGACTAGCCACTGGCTCTTTTAAAACTAGTCCAGTGGCCAGCATATTATGTAATGCCGGAGAACCTCCTCTGCAAATCATTCGTGACAGTAACACGATTAAATATATGATCAAGATTTCAAACCAGCCAAAACATATATCCTTCTCTAACTTCCACCAAAATTTTCCATATACTAAAGCGAAGACTCCCACTACAATCTTTGAAAACCTCAATCGAATAAAAAAGAATATTAATCTTAATATAGATTTAACCAAGAAGTCCCTCTTTCCTATACAAGCGCCTTGGACTTGGTCCCCGGATATTAATACGGATCTTCTCAAATATAACAAAAACACAACTGCAAACTCGTCCATAGTTGCCCTATTCTACGAATCTGTTGAATTCTTATACTACGACTACACACTTATCTACACAGATGCATCTAAAAGTATTAACGGAACAGGTTTCGCAATAGTGGACGGCCAGCAAGCTAAAACTTTTCGACTTCCTTCATTCTCCAGTATCTTCACAGCGGAATCCTATGCGTTATATATGGCAGTCCAATTCGTCGTACAATCAGACTATAAGTATTCACTTATAATAAGCGACTCTCTCAGCGCCCTTATCTCACTACAAGACCATCATCCTCAAAATGAAGTAATCCAACTTACCAAAGACCTTATCTCCTCATCGAAAAACAAAATTAAGTTTATGTGGGTCCCATCCCACATAGGTATCCCCGGGAACGAAAAAGCCGACAAGATGGCGAATGAAGCAGTTACATCCACAACCTCTACCATCATAAATAAAATTCCGAGTAAAGACCTATTAAATGAAGCCCATAAACGGATTATAAAAACATGGCAAAATCACTGGGATTCAATTCCCTCCAGTAACAAACTCAGAAACATAAAAAAATCTATATCCAAATGGGCATATCCAGAGAACGCATCAAGGAGAGAACAAATAGTTATAAACAGATCCAGAATAGGCCATTCCCATATCACGCACTCATATCTGATAACCAAGGAAACCCCCCCCTTGTGTGACACATGTAAAATTCCCCTTACAATGGCACACATCATTATTGTCTGCCCCAAATTCTCAACCGCACGTTTCCTGCTCAACAATCCAAGGTCAATTGAAGAAGCCCTCAGTCAACAGAACTCCGACAACATTTTCAAATTTTTTAAAAAAATAGAACTTGACAAAAAACTGTAAATATTATAATGTACAAACTTTTTAATTTCAGGCTAATAATCTGTGTAATTGAAGCCTTTATGTTAATAAAAAAAAAAAAAAAAATAATAATGTAATATGGATAATTGATTAAGGGTAGATATTTTTCAGTTTTTATGAAGATTTTTGTTTGTGAAATACCAAGAAGAGGATGTAATTTGTTGCAACCAGATAGATTGAAACGCTTAAAGCGTTTTATGAATTTTTATAGACTGAAATACTATGAATAATATTCTGCTTCAGAATTCAGAAGAGTGTAGATACCTTGAAAATAAAAGCTATAAAAAATAGGAAAAATTAATATTTTTTCCCAAGAATGTTTTTTAATAACTACTTCAAATTATTTAAAAGAAATATTTTGAAAAACGTTAGTTATTCCTGAAATATTGAGTGTCTTACGTTAAATGGATCGCCCTGTATACATCATATTATGTGGAAGCTGTGAATGCGTTTTATTAATTTTAATAATATGATTAAATTTTTATTTTTTTATTTATCGACGTCAAATAATAATATTCCAATCCCCTCCCCCCCAACAACAACTGAAAAAATCCTAAATACGTTTTACACCACCCAGGCTAATTTCTATAACGTAGTCGTGTGACGCACAGATAACGTGAGTTTAAATAGCAATGCTCCGCCGACTTACACCGCCCTCGCTACCATCGACATTAACGAAAGCGTATATTATTATATAGGGGTGGTTGAGTTTAAGCATAAATACTCTTTCTCCGTTTACCAAACTTTTGATCCATCTCTCTCTCTCTCTCTCTCTCTCTCTCTCTCTCTCTCTCTCATTCTCTCTCTCTATCTCTATCTCGCACCCTTCTCCCCAATGCAGCCTCTTTCCTGTCATGATTTTGCTTCCATAAAATGACAACTATAATCCGTTGGAGGGGACAATATAATGTGCTATATACTGGCCACAGGGCTGACAAAGAGGGTAGGTATGTAGACCACCCCAATGTAAACAATTTCCCAAACGATTCGCTTATATAATAATATTATCTCAAAAAGAAAGCAAAACCAAATAAATTATAACAGTTTTCCGTATAAAGTCAAATTTGCAAATAACTTTTATTGCCGGCCTACGTAGGGCCACATATAGTATACAAATCGATATTTAATCCGACCATTTAAAGCAGCGTCCAGCCTATATAATATCGAAATCACATAAATATTTCCTACGAATATTGTCCCATGTTGTTTGACTAAACATGTTTAGCAATGCGGCAAACTCCCAATACACACAAAGTGCACTATTAGTGAACAAACACTTGATATAAACTTTAAAACATTTAATGTTTATTAGGCATCGTTCTGGAAAAAACACAAAAATTTAATTGATTCAAGATTTAGCTTAAGTGCCACAACACGCATGATAACGCATGGTTTTTAAAAACAATCGATAAAAAAAAAAAATTGATCCACCACACCAATGCTTAACATATTTATATACCTGTGTTTCATACCATTGTGTTAATTATTAGATATTCTAATAAAATAACGCAATTAAATATTCTTAATGAATGAAAAGTCTTAGCTCAACTAATATATTTTTATTCATATCATAATATTATATCCGAAATTTAAATGCATGCAATATGCATATAATTATATAATTAATATTACTTCATGATTCAATAACAATTTATAATTATTTACTTTTAAGTAGTCTCGTAATGATTTTACTACAGTAAAATAGTATATTAAGTATACTTAATAAAATTATAAGTTTATAATATAGGAAATACAAAAAAATTAATATTATAATTTATTATTTATGACATACAGTTAAATACTTACCAAAGATATTAATTATTAATTAAATATTTAAATAAAACTTAACAAAAACAATTTTGTTACCTATATATTAGACGACGCAAAGTATAATCTTCTAAATATAAATTTAATTTAAATTACTGTTTATGGATCTAGAGCGTTATTTTAGTTTTAAATTAGATTTAAAGTTACTCTACTTCTACCACAAATATTCATTTCAGTCTTTTTTTATTTTTATTTAAAAAAGTTTTTTAATATATTTTGAGACTGCTATAATATAATACACAAAGTATTACAAATTTCTAAATAAATTGAGATTAATAGAGTAGTTAAATAATCGTTACGTGACTTTGTGTTGAATAATAATATTGTACATTGACCAATTTATTTTTTTCTTCAAATGACATCTGTTTTGTCAACGCATATATTATAATTATATATTGCAATCTAATTTGTTAATAAAATACAAATAACTAATTATATATATATAATTGTAATATAAATAAAACAAGATTTTGGTAGGGTAGATTTTGCCCAGGCCAGAGCAGTCAGATCACGGGGATGGTAAGATTTGGCTAATACCGAATAAGCATTGTCAACAGAATGAACCTATACATTTCAAATCTTATTTACAATCTTCAGACAAAGACATTAAATGCATTTCTCCTCAATATATAATAAATATTAATACGATTATGTTACGGATTTATATCCTAATATAGAGAGGCGACTTCAAACACATGTTTGTACAACAATTTCTAACTGTACAATTGCGGAAGTTATTTTTCTTGAATCAAATGAATAATAAATTTCTTAGGGTTGACTATAATAATGGATACCGAAAAATTAAATTAAATATTGAAGCTAATATGTTGTTTACATTAAATTTTGGAGATTTAACTCATGCTGATGAAAAGTTAGAGAAACTTAATTATAATTTTTAATTAGGTACTTATAACTAATTTGTAAATTCAAACATAAAATATATTTTTTTTAATATTTATCAGATATTAATATCTAGGTAGTAAAAAATTACTTACTTTATATAAAGTTCAATTTAATACATAATATTAGTTAATGATGTTCAATTATTACAGATAATAATAAGTAATAACAGTTATAATAATAGATTTTATTTCGACATGTATTTTATAAACTTATATTTTTATCAGTACAAGTTTTACAGGAGATGTGGTGAATAGGGTGAATGTAGTGAATTGGCAAGTGCCTGTATATTATGTTATCAATAAATTGTATTTAAAGTTAATAATTTTTATCATTGGCATGATATGTTAAAAGTTAAAATTATTTCAAATATAATATTCAGTCAATAAACTTTAGTCTATTAGCCACATATTATTTTACGCATACTAGGTACGTTCATTAGATCCCTTTGTTCGAAACTCAAATTCCCTAAGCTAACAATTCCCAAAGCAATAACTAAACTTAGTTGCACATTTAAGCTGTTCTCCGTATAAGATTAGAAACAAAATATTTTTATCATAGAAGTCACAAATAGATTATCAATTTTTTTTTAAATAAAATACCTAGGTGTTTATTTATTGAACTCAACTTATGTAAATAAAATACACATTATATTATTATGTGCAAAGTTATGATTATAGGACATAGGAGCATAATATTTTAAACACATTTTCTTTATTCAAAAACAACTTTTAAGAACTTTTTAAATACAAAAAAAATATATATATATATATATATATGTATTAATTCAAAATAATATGTAGGTAATACTAGAAAATTTTCATAAAAAAAATAACAATAATAATAAAAATAATAATTGATCACACGTCTTGAGATTTATATCACGTATAACTACTGTTTTAACTACTGTGAGTATATCGTTTATACCTATAGTAGGTACGTCCTATGGTTGTTGAAAACGTGTTTAATAACACAGTAATATTATAGCTGGAACAGTACTTTATAGGCAGTTATATAATTATGCGCGTTTCGATTTACACATAAGAAATGATAGCATTTTAAAGAAACAGGAGTTCGATTCGGACGTGATTGGCATCTGATGTTTATGTGGGTTTTTAAAAACCAATGTATTTTAAAATACAATTTTAACCCAGTAAGACCTGTACAGATTTGTGACACGACACTCCTCGTCCAATATATTTTACACGATAATATTTATATAATATATATATATATATATATATATATTATAATATATACTATATACACTTACACGGAAAACGCAGATTTCCGGTATACGACGAGTTACCGGATCGGAGGTCTACTCAAATCCATCGCGAACCCTCGCACAGACGCACATGGAAACTAAATTAAAACTATCTATGAAAATTCTAAAAGGGCGGCGGTGTGAAATGCGCGCGAATGTCCGCGGCAGATAGTCGCAAGAAGTCGTCTGCCTAGGGAACGCAGCCCCCGACAGAACTGCACCGCGGCGACGATGCGAACGGAACGATCAGCAAAAAAATTTGGACTGTGATGATGGTAAAATTTTCTATGATCGATGGTTAATAATTATTACGAAATAAACGACGACGATACAAAATTGCGGCCCGCGAGTCTCGGAAGTCCGCGAGGGTCTGCGTGCGTTGTCCTAGGTAAAAAAGTTATGACGACGTCGTCGTCGTCGGCGGCGGCGGCGTCGGGTTGCGCGCGGTAGCGATACCGAAACGTTACTAACGCGCGCGGTCGTGGCGTAACCGTGGTGGTGGTAACGGTGGTGGTGGCGGCGACGACGACGGCGATCCTTCGACGAGCGCGCCACGGCTGTTGCCGGCACACGGCGCGCGCGAGTTGCGTCGTTATATACGCGTGTGTTACAGCAGGGATCATGCGTGTGCACGGACCACCCCTCTCATATTATTATATTTTTGCGTTTAGAAAACGTACGATGTAATTGTGATTGTGATTGTGTGTGTGTGTGTGTGTGCGTGTGAGAGAGAGTATAATATGACGTTTTGCAAAGGTTGGTGGACGACAGAGGGGGTGAGTGAGAGAGGAAACAGTCGTCAATGCTCTTTCAATTAAAAATTCTAACATAAAAGGGAGCATGCTAAACGATGTAATCCGAGCCCCTATTGTATGCATGCACTCTGCAGTATTTGTACACACTCACACATATACCTAAGTATACACCACGGGGACGGCTAATAATATGTACACGCACATATATTCATACCACCCCTGCACCACATCCA